TCATGAAGGGGGCTTAGGATTCAAGCCGGCAGGTGTTGTGGAGGCTTAATGTGGTTTATCTATTGGATGAGGCAGGGGAGAGGTGGGGAAAGGAGGAAGAAAAAGGGAAAAAAAAAAAAAAAAAAAAAAAAAAGCTCCAAGTTGCCAGTAGCCATTCCTAGGGCTTTGAGTAGGCTGCTAATAATCACATTATACTGTTACTCACAGGCCCACAACTCAAGTTTGGCAAAGACCCCAGTGGTTAGAGGGCCTCCACTTTCTATCAGATTCAGACAGCCACAAAAAAAACCATACTGCAGGCCCCTTCATGCCAAAAAGCTGTCCTGAGATAGCTGTCCTTACTGGCACTGTAAGTTAGTCCCAGGGTCTGCCCACTTGAGGCAAGCTTCCCTCTCTGCTCCCAGTTCTGCAGCACCCGGAAAGGGGAGTCTCCGCTCCCTCTCTGTGGTCCCAAGTTTACCAGTAAAAGTGGTTGCTGAAGGTAGATCCGTGGAGTGGTTGCAGGTCCTCCAGTACATTCTCTCTACTGCCCCAGGGAGTCCTCCAGTGCCCCATCTCGCCACCCAGTTGGCGCTCCACAGGACAGTTTTGCCTATTTTTTTTCTTTCTGGTTAATTACACTGTCTCTTTTTCCTTTCTACTCCTACTCCCCTGAGTTTAGCATACTCTGACTTAATGAGCTGTTCAGAGCCCCAGAATCCCTGCTTCAAACTGCTGCACCTAGTTTTTCAGGCACTAAGGTGCTAGAGGAAACTAGTGTGTGGGGAACTAGTGTGTGGGCTACAGGTAAGACTCCATTTTCTGGGAAGATCAAGTTTCAAAATAAGTTAATTATCCGAAGTTATAGAACAATAATAGAACAGGCGTGGAACTTATGGGGTTTTCCAGACTATTGTCTTGGTGATAAAAGTTAATAGGAAACCACTGTCCAGTCAAGAGTGTGGGGTGGGTGGTTTTCTTCATCTTAGAACAGGCTAGTTAATTTCTCACCTTATCTGCCTCTTTTATAGGCAGACAACACAGAACTCATTGGAAGTGAATGCTATAGCAAAGGTGTAGAATTTGCCACCTCTTTTTCAGTTTTCCATTAGTAGAGAATTAAAAAGGAAATGTTAGGTTTTCTTAATATACTATTTCAGAGAAAATTGGAAGTGTTTTGGTCCTCTAGTGCCGTTCTAACAGAAAAATACCACAGAAAGGTGGTTTTAAACAAATGGAGTTATTTTCTTACATTTTAAGAGGTTAAAAGTCTGAGTTGAAAGTGCCAGCTTTAGGGGCTGGGTGAAGGCCCCTTGACCTTGGGCTTCAGCTCTGCCTCTTGCTTCTAGCCCACTGAAGCTGGAGGTATCTCTTAGCTCAGGCAGCTGCTGGCTGCTGAGGCTGACAAACCCAAGAGTGACAAAATGCACACTCCCCAAATTATCAAGCAACATGGCAAGCCACTAATTCAAGTCCATTAACAGTCCCAAGATCGACAGACAACATGGCAGGCCACTGAGATGAAGACTCGGCCAAATGCAAGATCCAAATGTGCCAAAAGTTCTGAGACCTTTCTCAAAGCTGACTTATATACTAGGAGCAGACCACCTCCCTAAGGCAGCTACTCAGCTGCTCTAGTGGATTCTACCATAGAGCTGATTACCAATCTCCTCATCTAGAATAACTCCATCCAGCTGCCCAGCCACTCAAAACCAGTCCCAGCCAAGTTGACACACAACTTAACTACCATCGGGAGTGAGGGACACAATGTCTACTCCATCATTCTCAAGAATAAAAACGAATGGGATAAATACATATGGCATTGCTTTGGGAAATTTTTTCAAATCCAACAGATTTAAACAGAAAATTATTGTAGTACTAAGGGTGCTGTCAGTCTCAGGAGACCTCTGTTATTGTTCTTGTATTAGAACCCAAGGTGGTTGTAGTTTGGTGCCATCTAGTATTCCAACTCATAGCAACCCCATATGATAGAGTAGACCTGTCCCATAATGTTTCCTAGGCTGTAATCTTTATGGCAGCAGGTTACCAGACCTTTCTCCCATGGAACCACTGGTTGGGTTCAAACCACCAACCTTTCAGTTAGCATTAACCATTGCGCCACAGGGGTCCTTAGAACACAAGGTGTGATGAGCAGCTTTGCTTTGACAACTTCCCACGTGAATAGTGAGAGAAGGAACAGTGGAGAAATTACTGGATGTGTGGAGCATAAGACCCACGTAAGCTGGAACTTTGTGACAGCCGGGAAGTCACAGATTCTTCTTCCTCCTGCATTGCCTTCAGAGGCCATTTTGCTGTCCAGTAGTAGGACCTCCAGCCCAGGGTGAGTGGTGAGGAGAAGAGTTCATAATCAGAGTCTGCCATTTGTAGATACACATTAAGCTCATACTTGTGCCAAGCACGCTCATATTTATGGGAGGACCTCCTGGTAAATCAAAAGTTCCAATGCTATGGGGCAACACAATAAGCAGAGGGTATCCCGGGAATACAAGGAGGAGCTTCACTGTGGAAGGCAAGCAGAGTCAGTGAAAACTGCCTCTGTATGGTGATTCTGGAAGCTCTGGTGGCATAGTGCCTAAGGCATTTGACTGCTAACCAGAAGGCTGGAGGTTCAAATCCATCAGCCACTCCTTGGAAGGAAGATGGGGCAATCTATTTCCATAGTGATACTGCCTCAGAAACCCAAGGAGGGGTTCCTTTGAGTTGAAATTGACTTGATGGCAGTGAGGGTTTTTTTTTTTGTTTTGTTTTGTTTTTTTAATGGTGATTCTGAGCTGAGGGCTGGGGAAGTAGGAGTTAGATGACGAGTGGGCTGACATGGAGGAGGACTGTTTTGGAGGTGAGAGGAATAGCTTGTGCAAAGGCATAGAGGCTAGATTTCATCTATAACAACCATACCACAAATGGAGATGGCATTTTCGAACCACCCAGGGCTGTGCTGAGATCCTGAGCCCTCCCCTGCCTGCCCTTCCCTTCCCTTGTGTTTCTTTTCCTTTCCTTTCCAGATTCTTTTCTCTTCTTTCTCTGTCTTCCTCTCTCTTTCCTTCCTTCCTTCTGCTTATTTTTTTACTACTCTTTGGTAAAAGCCCTTTCCAAAAGATGTAGATTTGTTTTCCATTTAAACAAATTTAACCTATTTTGCTCTTTTAAATCTAGAATCTGCTACTGCATTTCTATTTGCCATTATTAGAGAACTGAAAGTTCTCTGATATCATTGCTGACCCTGTGCAAATACTTGCCCTAATGTCCTTCCTGCAAAGGCAGGAGGCAGGTGCTTTTGCAGGGGATGGAGATCAACCAGCTCCCTTATTCCCAGGCTTTGCAGAAATGTAAACCCTCACATAATGGAATTTTGCTAATATCTGTTGATGGAAAGAAAATCTAATAATCTGAGCTTACTCTCGATCCATTCACAAATTTAAATTGTGTATATTATATTCATCACAACCATCTCTGTACACATTTATTTAATCTATAGCTGGGAGTTATAAACTGGTGGGTCATGGGCTTGGCCTAACCTACAGACACATTTTGTTTTCCTTATACCATGTTGCTTTGTTGTGTTTGCTGCTGCTATTGTTGCTGTTGTTTGAACTTAAATAAGTTTCCAATATTTAAAAACCAGGAGTCTTCCTAGGTGAACAACCACTGACCTAGTCCTACCCTCTTTTTTTCAGACTAGGAAAAAGGACCCCAGTGAGATTATGTGACCCAGATTTGACACTGCCCTAGATGATCATAGTACTTGCTTCTTCCCATCTCACCTTCTTCACCTTCCCCCTCTTAGAATACCTGACTTCAAGGTGCTAAGGACACTGTCAGTCTCAGGAGACTTTTGTTACTGTTGTTGTATTAGAACCCAAGGTGGTTGTAGTTTGGTGCCATCCAGTATTCCAACTCCTAGCAACCCCTTGTGATAGGGTAGACCTGTCTCATAGGGTTTCCTAGGCTGTAATCTTTATGGCAGCAGATTACCAGGCCTTTCTCCTGTGGAGCCACTGGGTGGGTTCAAACCACCAACCTTTCAGTTAGCAGCTAAGCGCTTAACCATTGCACCACAGGGGGTCTTTAGAACACAAGGTGTGATGAGCAGCTTTGCTTTAACAACTTCCCACGTGAATTGTGAGAGAAGGAGCAGTGGAGAAATTACTGGATGTGTGGAGCATAAAACCCCTGTAAGCTGGAACTGTGTGACATCCGGGAAATCCAGGTGTCTAGAGCCCTCATATTCTAGTCCACAGGCTGCCACGCCCACCAAAACCTTCTTCCCTCCAAGGCTCTGCCTTTCCGTCATTACCTCTGTTCCCATCAGAGCCCATGCTCCCCCCATGCAGCTGATCCTGACATAAGAACAAGGACATAATCTTTTGAAAGAATATAATAAGCTCTGAAGTCAGTGTGTAAAGGCTCATTTAATATAACCTTGAATAATTTCAGCATGTTTCATTTTAAAAAAACCTATAATACGATCTGTACTACTATGGATAAAAATTCACTTCTCATTTGGCTCAATGTGAATTACTATCACAGTGTTAAGAACACTTACCACAGCTCTCTGGATGTGTAGAAAGCAAATCATACCTCGTCCCCTTTGGGAAGACATAGAGTAGCCATTTCAAAGAGAAACATGTTCCCTTTATTCGATGAAGCAGGAAATTATCATTAAAAAAAAAAAAATCCTAATCAACAGAGATTAGAGCAAAAAGTAAGGTAATGAAAACAAACAACATTGTAACAAATTAGAAAGCAAGCAAGGAGAAAAAGTAGATGGTTCATTTACATCTGTACCTAAAATTGATGCCAGGCCAGATCTTTGGCTGTAGTGAGGGCTGTCAAGCACAGTGGTCCAAAACCAATATAAATGTACTAGAAAAAGAGTTTGTTTTCATACAAAAGCTATTGATGGATCCTTGTTCTTTTGTTCTTCTGGGAGTTCCAGTTCTGATCTCAAATTGTGTAGCTCCTGTTGTTTCTCTGGTTTACTTGCAGTTTTTCTCTTTCAGGTTCTATATAGAAAGCATTTCATACCTGAAGGATAATGCCACCATTGAGCTCTTCTTTCTGAACGCTAAGTCCTGTATCTACAAGGTAAGAGCTTTCTCTTCCTGCTTCCTGTTCAGAGTTGCCCATTGAAATCTGAAAGCATCATTAGAATCTGGGAATCCCAGCTTGCTGCCCTTAAGAATGGTTATTTTATTGATTAGTATATTGTAAGCAATTCATATATTAATCACTATAAATGAAAGAAAACATCATGAAACTGGAGACATTCGTTTAATGAAGTGACTCCTGATATCATCACTGTGCCTTTGATTCCTTAGAGATGTCCCTAAACCTGATTTTAAGGATCTTATTAACTTGGCTAAGGAGCTCTGGTGGTATGGTGGTAGGCATTTGGCTGCTAACTGAAAGGTCAGTGATTCGAACCCACCAGCTACTCTGTGGAAGAAAGATGAGGTAGTCTGCTTCTGGAAGTATGTACAGCCTTGGAAGCCCAATGGAGTCACTATGAGTTGGAATTGACTCAATGGCAGTGAGTTTGGATTATTTTGTTTTGTTTTAACCTGGCTGCAGAGATGAAGGGGAGACATAGACAAATACAACAAACGATCTTGTCAACTTAGATCTCACAAATGTGAATGAACTTCTTATAACCAAATATTGGATCATTTAAGTGTTCTTGCAGTGTCTCTCAAAGGGAACAACAGTATGGACACTTTGGTTGGGATGGTTCTTAATTGAGTGGGACAGCCCCTTGCACTGCAGAATGTTTGGCATCCAATTCCCCAAAAATACTTGTCATGGTCCCCTTTCATTGGAGAACCAAAAATGGGGAGAGGGGCTTGCAGTACCCCCCTCAGGTTGAGAGCTAGTGCTTGAAGATATTTTATATGAATATCCATTCTGCTTTCTTCCAACATGCACACCTGTGTCTTATGAATGCAGGCTTTCTCAAGCCACATCAGGTCTGCTCAGCAGCAGTTAGAAGAGAAGAACACTTTATACTGAGCTCACACAGTGTGCAGGGTTGCTGCTGGGGGCTCTCTGTGAATTGCCTGGCTGAGTGTTTGTAACTTCTTTTGAGTAAATACTACATTTTATCCCTGCTTGTCATACAGGGAAGATGAAGCATGGGGATATTGCAAGATTTGCCCAGGATTGCATGCCAGTGAATGGCAGACTCAGGGTTAAAACACAGACAGCCTGACAGCTCAGTTTTGGGCCATACCGCACCTTAGAGCAGAGACTCTCTTTAAAGTGGAGAATGCCCATGCCATACACCTTGCAACTTCAAAGCCAAGTATCCCTGGTTGTAAAGTTGTTGTGGATATATTTGGTGGAGCCTGAAGAGACTATGTTTTCATACTTACCGAAACTCAGATTTTGGGGATTGCAACTATCTACAGACGTTAACACACATATACACACACAGGTTGAGATGGTGTATTTAATCACTCTTTATCTCAAAGTATCATTGTATAGACATTACACAGGATTGTGCTACCAAGTGCAAATGTTCAGAGTAATAGAGAACCTTTCAGTGATAAAATTCAATTCTGTGAATGGCCTTCAGTTCTGAGAGTGGCTGAGTCAGGGCTTAAACTCGGCTCAAACCCAGAGAGGTCCAAATACAGTATTTTTGCTTTTTGCTGAGTGGAAGGTAAAGGTACTACATTTTGTTCCAAGTATTTGCAAATTTCTTCATCTCTCTAAGCCTCTGTTTTTTCTTTGTAAAGTGGAAATAATAATATCAACCTTACCTACCTGTAAGAGTATATAATGGTTGTTTCATGAATGTGAATAGACTTTGGAAAAGTTCAGAAATAAAAGTGAGGCACTCTCCACCAGATGGCAGAGTTGGGCAGTGAAATAGCTGGAAAATCACACTGAATCTTTGAAAGCACCCTCAACTGGCACAAGCCAAAAATCAAACCAAACTCACTGCCGTAGAGTTGTCCCGACTCATAGCAACCCCTCCTTGGGTTTCCGAGGCAGTATCTTAACGGAAGTAGATTGCCCAATCTTCCTTCTGAGGAGTGGCTGGTAGGCTTGAACTGCCAGCTCCCACCTGGGACAAGAAGGGGGAAAAAAAAAAAAAGCCATTCATTTTATTCCAATTCACAGCAACCCTCTAAGACAGAGTAGAACTGCCCCATAGGGTTTCCAAGATCTTTATGGAAGCAGACTGCCTCATCTTTTTCCTGCAGAGCAGTTGGTGGTTCCAACTACCATCATTTTGGTTAGCTATTGACTGCTTAACCCTGTGTCACCAGAAGTTGCCAAAAATCATGCTTATATAGATACTCGGATAAAGGGAGAAAAACATTTTCTTCTCAAAGTTGTTCACTTCAGTATAGTCACAAATCTAAACATCATGCACAGAGGGACTAATGGAAAATAAAAAGGAAGAGTAAGTCCTCAGAACTCAATATTACAGACCACCCTAGTGAAGGTATTGAGCCAACCACATTTAGGAACAAGGTGCTGGTGGCATCAGTCTGTGAGCTGGCCTATGTGTGGTATATGCCATCCCAGAACCCCAGCTCAATCTTTCCAGGATCTGTACTAGAACAAGAACTAGAGATGGCTTTGCAAAAGTTTATATTGGAAACCAAATAGCATCACAAGACCACCTGTCTCCCTCCTTTATCACAAGTCATTATTCCATTTGCATTGATTTACAGTTAAGAGTTTACCCAAAAAAATCACAAAAATTATCTTTTTTGAACTTCTTAACTTCTGAGTTCATAAAGCTCTGAGGTAGAGCTTTACAGATGAGAGAACTGGTATTTAGAGAGGTTAAATGACTTACTGGAAGACAAAGAAGTTGGAAGTGATTAAGCAAGCAGTGTAACCGGTTTAACACAGCTGTAAATATTTCAAGATAGTGGGAGGCTTTGTAGCAGAGTGATTAGGAGTTTTGATTTTGCTGTCAGACAGACTCCGGTTCCCTTCCCAGCTCTGTCATTTAGTAAATGTAATAAATGTTGACAATTTATGTAATATCTCCAAGCTCAATTTTCTTCTCTTGTTGAAAAAGGATATGAAAAGACCCTACCCACCACCTTCTTGTGAAGATTAATGAGATAAAGCGTGTAAGGGCTTAGTTAGCACTGTGCCAGGCATATTATCACCTACTGCTATGGTAGTAGCATACTGCTATGATAGGAGCTCTGGTGGTACAGTGGGTAAGGCATTTGGCTGCTAACCAGAAGGTCGGTGGTTCAAACCTACCTGCTGCTCCATGGGAGGAAAATGAGGCCGTCTATTTCCATAAAGATTTAGCCTTGGAAACCCTCTGGGGGGTTTTCTATGAGTTAGAATCAACTGGATGGCAGTGGGAGTGGATATTAGGATGGGGCAGCTGACTTGGATTCAAACCTGAGTTGTTCATCTGGGCTGTGATTTTCCTCTGTACCACCCACACTGTCCCTGGCACTTCTGAGGCCATGAAGAGCCCAGAGGGTGGTGCCAGATGATGGATAATTTGTAAATGACACAGATACCCAAAGGCTGTGGTTTACCCAGCACAACTTCAGTATCACCTCCTTCTCTCTTCCTTAGGGAATAATTTCTGTAGTGTATTAGAATGTAAGTTGTTCAGATCATATAAACTGTTCCAAAGTTGTTATTCCGTTCACTTTTCAAAACATTAACATTTTATTTTTATGATGTAATGTATGATGTAGTTTGACAGTCAAATGGTTTTACAAGACTTACTATGAAAAAGAGTCCATCTCTATATCTAAATCATTGGCATATGGTATTATTCCTGCATTTATCCATTTTAGATTTATTGACTGCTTGTTATGATATTGAAGATTGTTGTTATTGTTGCTAATGGCTGTCATGTCAACCGACTCATGGTGACCCTGTGCACAATGGGACGAAATGCTGCCTGATCCTGCGCCATCCCCATGGTGGTTAGCAGATCAGACTGTTGTGATCCATAGTTTCGTTAGCTAATTTTTGGGAGTAGATCCCAGGTTTTTCTTCCTAGTCTTAGTCTGGAGGCTCTGCAGAAACCTGTTCAGCATCATGGCCACACACAAATCTCCACAGACAGACAGGTGGCGGCTTGGCACAAGGTGCATTGGCCTGAAATCAAACCCAAGACTCTTACATGGAAGTTGAGAATTCTACCACAGTATCATCACCCACCCTCTTTCCCCATTCTCCCTTTGTGATGATAACACAACTTTGGGTTAAAGCCACATCAGCATTACATTATTATGGCTAATCCAAGTGGTGTCCTCTGATTATAACTCCTTTTATAGACAACCACTTGTTTGACCTAAAGTAGTAATTGCCTTGCTTTTACTTGCTTAGTTTCTATGTTCCAGTGCTTTTACAGGTTCCCCAAAGGCCTACTAATACTAATTTCCAAATGCATCAGATAATCCATCAGTTCCTTTTATTGGTTTGATTTATTAATGTTACTGTTGTTTTTCTTAAAGACCTCCCTTTGGAACCCTCCACCCTCCCTTGCAAGTTGATTTGGCCTCCCTCATAGCTCACACCCCGAGACTCTCCTTCCCCATCAGGCCTTTCCTCTACCCCAGTTCTGTATCAGATCCTCTCTTCCTAGATCCGTGTCTTCCTGTTTTTTTTCCTTTATGCCATTGTTTAGCTGGAGAACATCTCCCAGTAAATCCAGATAAAGAGTATATGGGAAGTAAACTGTCTGGATCCTTGTTTATCTGAATAAGTCTTCATTCTCTTATCTGAATAATAGTTTGACTAGACATAGAAATATATGATAACCCTTCTCTCAGAATTTTAAAGCTGTTGCATCTAAGTCTTCAAGAAGTTGCTGTGGAGTAGTCCTGTCTTAGCCAATGTATGTGACACACCCTCTCCCTCAACCATGGGATATTTTAGGATCTCCTCTTAATCTGAAATTTCAGAATGCTGTGCCTTGGTAATGTTGTTGTTAGGTGCTGTCAATGACTCATAATGACCCCATGTGACACTGCAGAACTACACTGTCAGGTTTTCTAGGCTGTAATCTTTATAGGAACACATCACCAGTCTCTCCTCCTCGGAGCTGCTGACAGGTTTCAGCTGCAGATCTTTTGGTTAGCAAT